ATCCGGATAATCGATTTCGTGCAAGTTGCGCTACTCACAACTATCTAACGGATAGTTTTTTATACTTCAATCCTGTATTGTGCGAGTTTGGATAGATTCGTTTGGCGCAACAACCACGCAATGAATAGTTGCGTGATCCTATGCATTATCCGGCAAAAAGTTGCGCTACTCCCAACTATTTCATGCAAAATCCAGGATTTTTTTTATTAACTTGGTGGTTTTCGATCGAAGTTTAGCATCACATGGTAAAACGCGTTTTTCACAGCAAGGCTCCTTTGCACCAATGGCTGCACTAGAAAAGTTGTATCGTGTCAACTATTGGTGGAATTCGTTTTCCTCCGAACGGAAATGTCTTGTCAAACAGGTTTTTACCTGTTTCACCTGTTTAACGCGATTTCTTCCGTTCAGTGGCCCCCCATTTTTCAAATAGAGGTGGGACCCCATGACTCGTGGCGACCAACGCGACCGCGACCGCGCGGTAAGGCTGCGCCGAGGAGAATTCGTCGCAAGTTTCGAACTCATGATGGCGATGTATATAGAAAGCTCAAGCGCGTATGGCGAAGAACGCGTCGAAAGGTCGGACGGACAACCTGACGCCGCAACAACGCCGGGAAGCCGACGCCAAGGCGCTGGCGGACAAGATTGCAAAGAAACAAGCAAATTCAGGATGAAAACGTCAATCGTTGGGGGCCCTTTGCCGATTCCAATCGTTGCCGAATTCACCAGCGTCAACACGAATGTAACCTTATTTTACCTCACTGAGTCATGCCAATACGACTTTTCGAGACACGTCCATGACTCACTGCATGCTCCCCCACTGCGATCAATCGTTGAAAACGAGCCCCGTGCATTGTTTTGTCGTGCCCGGATCTCCACTCGCCACATCGTCCTGTTTCGCCATCTACCGCGTGCCTCGTTACTGGCATATCCATCATCCCATCACCACTGCATCTTCTTCTGATTTCATTCGTACCTCTTGATCTGCGTGGGCCTCTTGCCTTGGTAGCAAGCCGCGTCCGCACCGAAGTACATTATCAACATTTGAGGCCGTCGCAGCGACCCATCAGTAGCTCTCGACTCGAGTCGTTCAACGGCGTCGACGGCGCTCCCGTTCCGGACGAGAGAAGGCATCCTGCGGAGGCCAGAGCGCTGTGAGGCACGCGCACAAGTGCATAGGAAGGTTGACGGCATGCACGATGCCATCATCTCAATAAATTCCTCGGCACGTCATCGCATCGCACGCTTGGAAACGCTCCAGCGGTCTGGTCTATTTTTACCCGGCACGCATAAAATTTCTCGGTGGGGACGACGGCAGGAAGCAGCATCGTTGACCATCGTCGTCGCCATGAGCTACGACATCGACAGTGCCATGGCATCGTGTGCGCTGATCGTGTGCTGGGCGTCAGGCGCGTACATGCCCGTCGCTCTGGCCTTCTACGTCAAGCATCGCAACCACCCGAGCATCAAGTATCGGCAGCCCATGCTCATGGCGGTCGTGGGGTTGCTCTGTACGATTCAATGCTGGGGTATGGCATGCATCGGATTGTTTGGCCGGCCGTGGTCGTGTGTCGCTGCCGTTGTGCCATCGCTGGTGCTGTTTCGCGTCACAGGGTAAGGACGTCGCCCTCTTCTCCTGGCTCACGTGGGCTGGCAGGCTTGTGTACTTTTTAGCCCAAGGCTCGGTCGTCGCGATGTTTTCCATCACCGAACTCCTCGCCCTGCCACAACATCGATCGCCCACGGCGCTCAAGCGAATGCAGGCATATCGATGGCTTCTCTTCCGTCCCGTGCAGGCTGGATTCGTGATGGTCGGGGGCATCCTGGCACTGGGCGTTGGCATCGGCATCTTGCCATCGACGCTGTGGCATGCAACGTTCGGCGACTGTGTTGGCGACCGACCAGTCCAGGTGCCGTGCTCGACACATGCTCCGCTGTTGCGGTGACCGCGCCTCGAGTAGGCGCTGTATATATCCACGGCCGCCGAGATTGCCGCCATGAGCGCCGTCTCGCTCTACTTGTCGAGGCATATCAGCATGGTCGTCGACAACTTTGGACTGCGGCAAACATACGAACGCGCCGCTCTGGCCATGTTTGTGGTGGCGGTCGTTGGCGCGGCAACGATGGCATCCGCGGCCATGGGAACCAAGACGGCCGAAGTGTTTCGCACGGCCATTCACGCCATCGCCGCCCATGTTGTCGTGGGATTTCACATCGTACTTCCCGTGCGACGGCGGCACGGTACGTTGTCCGTGGGGACGTGTCGCGATGCCGCAATCGCACGCGTTCATTGTTGGCCGGTAGGAAACTCCAAGTGGGTAACGCGAACGCTAGCGATCCGCCCGATGTCGTCGACAGCATCACACTGGCAGAAGGCGACGCTGTTGTCGGTGGGCAACGACGGGGCAGCCCCGCCCCCCACCACGCTTCCGCCACCACAGCAAACTCTACCGAAAGGCACCACGTACACCAAACTGTCGAGGGTATGCCCAGCCACCCTGTCTCATTCTCCATCCTATGGTACGTCGTCCCGCCCGGCTAGCCCTTGAAAACGAACACGATGGTGCATTGCACAGGCGAGCAACCACGTTCGCGATCGTAGACCAGTCCTCCCTTGGATGCCGCGCGTGTCGGCTGGTTACCCTCATCTTCCGTTTTGTTGTGTTAGAGACGCTGCGACGACTGCCGCCGGCCAAAGATATTCATGCGCTACTTGTGGACCTGCAGCTCTTTTTGGGGACGCCGGACGGGTTTGACGCGGTGTTGGCGTACGCCCACAAGGAATCGCACACGCAGGAGCTGCTCGCGTGGGCCATGGTGGAAAAGTTCAAGCGCAGGCTTGTGACAGCGCAGACCGTGTACGACCACTGTTTGGCGCCGCAGAGTTTGCTGTGGTGCAAGGCCGCGGCGGAGGTCGCGCCAGCGGTCGCTCGCATCCTGCATACCCCGCCGCCACTCCACTTGCACCGCGTGCGGGACACGTCGCCCCATTCGCCGTCGATGCGGCGGGCGCTGGACGAATTTTCCACAAAGCTGGTCAAAGTCATTTATTTCAAGGTTCTCCCCGGGTTCCAGCAGCACAGCGCGGCGTGGCACGAATTTCTCACGACGCTCAAAACGATGGACTTGCTCGAATCCGTCGACAAGATGACGCAGCAAACCACGAGCAACACGCTGTCCAAAGTGTCCAAGGCGGAACCGCTGCCAATCCTGCGGAAAAACTCGGCCGGCGGCCTCCACGACCAGTCCGAATGGTCCCAGTACGCCAATACGACGTCGATCGCGGCACCCAACCACCCGTCAGGAACGCACTGCAAGTCTGAAGTTTCCCAAACAATCACTCGATGACGCAGCAAGGTATCGACCGAATTCGACCAGCCACGCGGACGTGAAAGCGGTCATCGCAACACACGTCGACGGCACGTGCCTCGGGTAGAGCGGTCGCCACGGCCCATCTACAAACACACGACCTCGGCCGCACCGCAGTCGTTGTGTAGCAGGAATGGGCGTACACTGGACCGATCGTGCGTGTTCATGCTGGTTACTCCATCCGCAGGCACCGCTTCGACTCAAACGTGCCACGCGCTGTGTGCACGGAGAGCCGCCGCCCCCTAACCAGCATTTCAAGGGCTCTCGAACGGTGATGCCATCTTCGAAGGACGTAGCGCCTGAGGCTAGCTTTCTTGCAACAACGACGTCCAACGGGAATCGCTGGGTCGACCATCCATCTCAACCGTGTGGCCTCGCGACGTGTTTTGCCCAGCCGTCGTGCGAGGATGCGTCTGGTCAAGTCACACCGACATCGACGTCGTTCTAGAGCCCAACGTTCATTGGAACGCGCGCGAGACTTCCTCCTGGCCGATGAGGTGGGGATTTGCTACAACACAGCGCCGAACGCCGCCGACGTCCAGTCGCCAGCTTGGGTTTCATCATCGCGTGAGAAAATAGACCAACGGCGTGGCTAATGCTTACACTTCAACTTGGCCACACCACTTGGTGGAGGTGCGGCTGCGACGGACCACGTGCACAGTTGGCTCTCTCCCAAAAATGCACTGTAGTGAGCCACGGACTTTGTTTACAACGGGATTTGGGTAAACTGCAGGGGTGGCAGGATGTGCAGCAAGCGCCGGGCAGTGTGGCGAGGCAAGCGCTGTCGAGAGCCCATATGATATATTGGTTGAAATGTTACGTATGGGCGACGAGGGTTTTGTTGGAAGGATTGGGTCTGGCCGGAGGAGGATTTCCATTCGATATATTATCGTGTGAGGTGGCACTCGGCATCGCGCCGTGCAATGACCCGACTCGTCACTGCATCATCCCCGTCGGCCGCGATCCCTCTAGCCAGCAGCAGCAGCTCCCGTCAAACGGATCCGTACCACGACGTCACGGCGCGGCCACCGTCCACGTGGTTGAAAACGGTAGCTCCATTTCGAACGTTGCCGCAAACGCGCGCGGCGACCGGCCGCATCGTGTCGTTCGTGGATATTTGCCTGCGGTCGTTCGGCCAATGCTGCTTTCAAAACTCGCCACTGACAGGACTCGTATTTGTTGTTGCGCTGGCGACGTCGGCACACGGACCAGGTCGGTACACACTCGATAATCTAGCACCGACACATGACCCTCTCGACCGCAATTATTGTAGCCATGGTTGGGTTGGCTTTGTTGGGTTGCATGTCGGCCAACTTGTTTGCCATCACGATGGGCTTCCACGAGCCCTTGATTGCCGCTGGGCTCTTTGGCTACAACGCCACCCTCGTCGGGTGCGCGTTTCAGGCGTTCGTGGTCGGGGACGCTCCATGGACGTGGGAAGCTCACGCGCACATCCTGGTGGCGGTGCCGTGTCTGTCGGTGCTGTCGGTGCTTGTGGCCTCGGCGGCCTCGAGTGTGCTGCCTCCAGGGACCCCTGGCCTTACGATAGCGTTCCAGGTGACGGTGTGGAGTTGGTTGCTGGCCACACACACCTGGTCCCCGGCCGTTGCAGCTCCGTTCGCGCCATCGCCTGGCTTGTACATGCCGCTCCATGGGAGCGCCGCCGCCGTCGCGACGGCCAGATCGTACGACATGGCCAAAGTTCAGGTCGCAGTGGCATCGGGTACGTGCAATATGTTTCCCGCTTGGACTGGCTTACTTCATGGTCGCTGCGGTCGTGTATAACGAATGTTTATGGACAGGGGTGGCGCAATGCTGCTTGGCGTCCGAGTGGTACGTCGGGCTGGCCATGGTGGTTGGCATTGCCCTGTGCTCGCCGATCTCGGCGTTTTATGCCGCGGTCGGGTCCACAGTGGGGACGTTCATGGCGGTGGCGGTCGGCGCGCCGCCGGAACAAATCTACCTCGGTCTGTATGGATTTAATGGCGCGTTGTGTGCGATCGCGCTGGGTGGATTCTTCGTCTTGGCGAACGGCGTCCACCCCAACATGTTGGTCGCTGTGGGCATTCTTGGGTCGACGTTGCTCATGAGCACCACGATCGGAGCGTTTGGACCCGTCGGCCTCCCTGCGCTATCGTGGCCATTCACATTCATGACGTGGTGCATTCTCGTGTCAGCGACGTCGATGAAGCGCGTGGTCTTGATTCCTCTCGACGAGCTGCAGACCCCCGAAGATCACTGGGAGCACCACCACGAACGAACCCGTCGCACGATGCGACCGTCCCACCCACCGCCGTGCTTTGATTCATGAAATCGACGTGTTTGTCAAAGTCCGAGCCTGTGGCGCCGTTCAAGTCTAAATACTTTTCTCACGCGCTGTGTTGGATTCAACCTCTTGATGCGGGACGCATGATTCCGACTCGACACGCGTTGGAATGTGCATGTCACGCGTGGCATGGCCGCCGCCGTTGTGGGAGGGCCGTTTGACAGGCAAAGACATGTGTGCAGGCTCCACGAGGTTACAAGTGGTTGTGGTAAAACGACGACTGCTCGTCGTGCTGCGCGGTGGTTTCGATGCCCCGCTTGACGAGGCCCGAGTGCTTGCCGCGCTGCACGACGTCTCGAATAATGTCGGCCTTGTCGTGCTGCCACCGCTCGCGTTCTTTGTACAATTGGGCGATTTTCGGGGTCGGCGGGTTGTGAAACAGGAACGAGTCTTGCAGGGCATTCATCGTGCGGCTGTTGAACTTGAGGTTGATTTGAGCAAGCCCTTCTTGGGTGAGCTCGAGCACTTCGACCATCGTGGCCGACGTGACGCTGATCGCTGACGGCTGATTTGGACGGAGCACGCACACCTTGCACGTGGTGAGCGACTCGACGGACGGATGCAGACCAAATAGGATGGTTCCGACCATACCTCGCCGAAGACCTGCCCGGTTGTCAACGTTGCCACAGTCACGTTGACGGTGGTGCTGGACGTTGCGTGCTCGGTACCTACACACCGCACGATGAAATAGACTGCCGCTCGACCACAGACAAGACGAAAGCAGCAGACACCATTCGACCCATCCCCCGACATCATCGATGCGCTGCCGTCGCAACTCGTCGACGTGTTCACTCGAATCGAACACACGTTTGGACGCTCGCGCCGTCCCATGGCTCTCCACACCAAACATCATCCTTGGGCCATGTCACGTGTGGCCCACGAATTCGACATGCAGTCGGTCGTACTCATGTCGAGAAATTCATTTCGCAAGCGAGGATTTGTGAGCTGCCATCCGTTGTCGACGACCCACGACCCGTCGTCGTGCTTTTTCTTGTGTCCTGCGACCGTGCTTGGTCGCTTGGCCTGCGCAAAACAAGTGGACATGAGCACCGTCGTCGCGATGGCAGCATGGCAACCCCGTCAGCAACGTCTCCCCGACGACTGCTTGGGACGTACCTCGGGCACTTTGGGGCCTGGATCCAACGCGAGCGATTTCGTGACGTGGCACACGCCTCGCTTGATCACAAACAACTTGTCGACGAGTTCGCCAGCTTTGAGAATCGTTCGAAATGGCTCAAAGAGGAGAACACTAGAGAGTTGTGCCAGGCGCGCGACCACGTCCGACGAACACCTACGTCCAACGAACGATGCATGCCGTGTTGTTGGGGACCACACGCGGCAGACGATGCGCCACTGGGACGCGTGGGAATCACGTACGATTCAAACACGCGGCACTGTCGGAGAATCTGGCACTTGTCTTCGTATACGGATTTCTACAACATGGGTTCGCTCGCTGTCGTTGTCAATGCAAGAACACCACTCAGGCAACACAACTCGATAGGCCATTCGTTTCGTCTTGCGGCCCGCCAAACACACGAGGCATGCATCCCAGCTTGGCCACCGGCGGCGGCACGCGTATTCAATCTATCGCGCGGCGCATGTACCATGTGATCGCGCATGGCGTGTTGATACAATGCATGGCGCACGGCAAGGCAGTGCACTTTACTCAACGCCATGACTGTGGCGCGTCGGGGTCCTGGTATGTCTCTTGGCTCGCCAAATCCATCGCCAGGGAGCAACGTGCACACTTTTTTCGACGCGATCGTGCCATTCTCTGCACGGCGTTGATGAGAAGGCAACCCACGACGATGACCTGCACACAGAGTCCAAAGCACGGGCAACTGCATGCGCGGCGCACACTACGAATCAAAAACGCCACAAATGCATGGCACACTGTCGGGGGACACTTGCATGACGAAGCACCATCGTGCTGTTCCGAGCGAGCAAAACATGGCGCGAGTGGACGGAAAACAAAGATCGACCAGGTCGAAAACACACACGACGCAAGACCCACATCAAGAGCAGCGCATGGCCATCTCGAGGTTGGAAAAACATGCATGTTATACCAAACATTTCGACGCTCACGGCGACGCTGCCCGTCAGTAGAATGTAACACGTGTCCGCTTCGTCCCCTAGTTGTGAAAAAGCATGCCGCCGCCACAGTCAAGACGAATCGCTTGAGAAACGAGTCGAGTCCACAACGGGCGTCTCGAGTGTACCTTGGCGAAAGATGGCGCTGCGTGGAGCAAAGCTCTCGATGTTCGCGGCCATCAAAAACGCCACGATGACGCTCTACGGGTTGTGTTTTACGTCGAGCACGCAGATGGGACATTCACCTCGGGCTGCTGCTGAAAGAATCTCCACGATTTCGCGACGGGAAGGGCGTTGACAACGTCAACGGTCGTCCGTTCGTCGCGAGGCTACGACGTGCATGAGGTCGAACTCGACCGTGGGAATAAACGCAGTCCACTCGATATCGAGACGAGGCATCCGTGAATGGCCTGCGCCGCCCACTTTCGCGACAAACTCTGCGTGCTCTTGTCGAGGGAATCGCGATCGCGTCGTACCAGCTGCAGCAGTGACGCGAGCGAAGGATGCAGCCCGTCTTCAGCCAACACGATGCGCCCCATCGTGCTATATCGGCGATGCATCGGTGGGGGGTGCGTCGGGGGTATCGATGGCGACGATGACGGCGGGTTGCCCGGGGCAGGCGATCTGGGCGACGGTAAAGTCGTCCGTGCGGCCAAGGACGAGGCGCGGTCCCTGTCATCGACGGGATCTCCGTCCTCGCCACGCAACATGAGGGCGTCGATGCGGTGGTAGTCCTCGATGGCCTCTTTGAAGTGTCCCTGCAGCAATCGCATCACGTCAGAGAAAAAAGCAGCGACGACGCATCGACGCCATGCCCCACGCACGGGTGTGCATAGTGTTTTCGTGTGGAAAGAAGACCGTCGCGCAGCTACTTCAGCGCGTACCCGTTCGCGCAAGAGCGTAGCTCGGCTTTCCAAGTACACTTTGTTTTTTGGATCAAACTTGATGGCTTTCGTAATGTCGTGGATTGCATCGTCCAGCCGCCCGATTTGGTAGTACGTGCAGCCTGCGCCACGTCAAAACTCTCGAGGATGCACCGGCAGGTTCGAACGATAACAACGTGCCGGGTTGACATGCGCGCCGCACTCGCCCGATCGACGACGCACCTCGGTTATAATGCGCCAAATGCCATGCCGGTTCAATGTCGATGCAGTGGGAAAAATCCGCCAGCGCGTTGGCGTACTGCTGGAGCCTGTAACTCGCATACGCGCGGGCGAACCGGACGTGGAGCTCTCGGATCGGACGGGCCGACTCGGACGCTAGCGCGTTCTTGAGCACCCACGTGTTCGACTACACTGGGGGCATAAACAAACACCAGCAAGTGCCGGACGACACCTTGACGATGTTTTCAAAGTGGCTCGGCGTGCGATGGCAGACGTGGCGAGCTGATAGCTGCGCCTCCTACCATGTCGAAGAAACCAGTCAGGTTGTGGTGTGCGTGCGGGGCACGACCTTGGACGACATGGCTTCGATCGGTGTGAGGCAGATCGATGGCACCGAGTGCTTCTTCTGCAGCAGGGGACGCTCGAGCTTGGGCAGGTGCCGATTCGACGCCACATCTACCACTGGCATGAGCACCACATGCGTCGGGAGACTGGCGCATTACGCTTGACGGTGTAGTCGCGCTTCATATGGCCACTGCTCACGACACAACGACGTCGTTGCCAGAGTATATTTAGCCTACTGACATCTCCAAGTTTGGTGGCGGAGGAATCGCCCCTTGCGCCAAGGTGCCGTCGCCCAGCCACCAAACGCCCCGACCACGGCACGACATGGGACTGTATTCCTCTCTGACGGTGAGCGTCGGTGCATCGTGGCAGGGGTCGCCACGGACGCGCACAATGAAAGGGAGGGGCACTCCCAGTATCATGGCATTGCTTGCGCGGCGGTGTGCGATAGAGTGCCTGAACGCTGCTGGATGGAGGGGGGGACGGACCCTTGGACACCATCGATCGATGGCATGACGGGGACGTCGGTAGGTGCGTAACGATGGCGGCGGACAAGTTGGTGAGCGCACGCCACCACATCGATCGCCACAAGTGGACAAGGCCCGCGACGACTGCATTCGAACGACAAAGCTCTTCCGTTCTTTCGAGACGTGTCGAAGCAGCCCGCACGACGGGCATTCGTCGTTGTGAGTGCTCGTGACCGAGACTGTAAACTCAAACGAGTCGAGATCGTGTGGGGGGCGCCACAGGGAGGCATGCGGTAATGTCGATGGCCGCCAGCGCTTTCGTCGCCCATGCAAACACGATGGCTCTGTCCAAACATGGCACGGGAATGATTACATTTACTTACAGTCCTACTCACCGAGCTAGCACCCCGGATGGGCCTTGCTCACCAACGTCACGACGCGGCCGTTGAGCGGCTGGACGGAGCGCGCGTTCGGGTGATGGATAACCTTGCTCCACTTGGCGAGCTGGCCCTTGGACATGGTCTGCACATCTTGCAGCACATTCCACTCGACGCCTTCCGTGTACGGCTCGGTCGTGAGCGACCCCGGGTACCGGAACACGTTGGTGCGCGTCACGGGGAGCGCCGACGGATCGAGCGACGACAGCGTAAAGTTGTCGCCGGCCTTGGTCAGCTTGTCGAACCCGCTAAAGAACTGGTCCAGGAACGCGTTCGGCTTGTCGTGCGGGTCCAAGTCGAAGAAGATGCCGACGACGGCCAAGTTTTTGTTCTTGTCAGCGTGCACAAAGTGCACCTCGAATGGGTACTGCTTGCCCCCGATCGTGTGCTCGCTGGGTGCGTGGGGGTGGAGCTGCACCGAGTTGTACGCCTTGCCGTTGAGGGTGAGGTGCGAGTCCGAGCCTGCGGACCACGTCGCCTTGACAGTGTGTTCTTCGTGCGTCACGATGGCAGGGGCCTTGTTGAACGCGATCGAAAAGTTGCCGGCGTTTTGGACGGGCTTGGCATGGGCGGGGAGGTCAATGGGGGACTGCGCCTGGAGGGTCTGGCCCGCCACGGCTGCGGCCAACGCGGACAGCAGGAAAAGCTTCATCTTGGTGGCGACGTGGGGAATTCAAAAGTGCATGGCGCTGTCCTCTACCCGTCGATGGGAGACTGCGACATGTACGCTACAAATGCCCCTCGGCTTGAACTAATTCGCCGTCCGTCCCCATGCATGAACAAGATCCAGTCGTGCCTGGGCCGGAGTGAACAGTTGGCGGCTGGCCATTGCCCCAGCGTGGTGGCAGCCTGTCTGTCTTTACCACGGGGCTGGGCGGACGGCGGCGGGGGATGTCGAAGGTGGCGCGAATCGGCAGCGATCGAGTCACGGTCGCCGTGAGGGCGTTCTCGGCAGGTTGTGCGTGCCGTTTCCCAGCCAACGCGGCGACGTTGCGAGGGAATCGATGCGCCAACAACAATTGGCGGTCAAGATCGCGCGAGAGGAACACCGTCTGCCCCCGACCCCACACACACACACACACTCACCCTCATCCATGCCACACACCCACATCCATGCGGGGGCAGGCCAGACGAGAGGCTCGCCAAGTCGGTCGTGTTACGCTCGGTGGTTCGACCGTCGCGCGTACAGTGTTCGACTACGGTCTCTCTCTTCCCCCCCAACGTAACACCTGCTGTCGGTACCCACTCAACAAAGGGATCGTTGTTGCCGTCAGTCTGGGCGTTGTCGTGCTCCGTCCACGAGCTCAAAGCGACGCGATCAGGGGGTTGGTGGCGGCAGGGGCTGTCGCAAGCTCGTGGCGACAATGCTTGGCTGGCGTGCCCATCGTACACACGGCCGTCACTCTCTCGATACCGTCAAACCTGCCGCCGACATGGACCTAGGCCACGCGAGGACACCGCGTGGTCAGGCGTGAAATGCGGATGAGCCCCATCTGGACGGCTGCACAAGCGCAAAGGAAGATGAGAGCTTTATCGCTGGCTGCAGCACTGGTCGACAAGTGCCGTGGATGCCGGCGAGACGTAAGATGCACGAGAGGCTGGTTGAATCGTACATCATCTCAGCAATTCCGCCGTCGCGCCGCCCAGGTGCCGCAACGTAGTACTCCGGAGTATTCCACAGCCTACTCTTGGTCCCACGCATGCCACCGCTACTGCTGCAGCACGTGATCGAAGGCATGGGCGACAGGAAATAAAAGCACAACTGGTGCTGTCGACCAGGTTGCCGCCCGACCCAAGCTTATGACATGGTCAGAGAGGTCCAAGATGCAGAAAAATGCGGGGGGGCGCAACGTTGTCACGCGCGCTGCTCCGTGCGCGGACTCGCGGTGCCAATGATGATATAGGAACCCGGGCACAAGCGCCGCAACCCACTGTGCTTCCCATATGGAAATGTTGCGTTGGCGGGCTGGGGACAGGTGGTCAGATCTCCCCCAGCACAACCTCAGTCTATTCATCTACTACGCCAGGGCGAGAATGGACGGCCCTCATTTGGAACGGATGGCTGTGCAAGGAGAATGCGTCCCCAAGCATATGCGAGGACGTCCCGCGCCATTTGACGCGAGAGGCGACGCAGCCGCGTGGTGCCGAGGATGGGAGATGATCGTACAGTACAGTGCTAGCTCGCGGTTGACGGAAGCTGCTCGTGCTCGTGCGTCTCGGCGCGCTGGACATCACAGAGCGACGCATTTCCCCTGCAACAAGGCAAGTCGACTTGGGTACGAAGGGAGCTCCATTACGGGGTAGCAGCAAGTCATGTCAACTATATCGCGGTATTTGCATATGTTGAGATTCACCTGCGTGCCCACGGGCCATGCTTGGTGTTCTGGTCCGTCTGGTGTACCAAATGCCGCGTCGAGTGTGGGTGCGTCCTCGTCATCTCGAGCCTTCTCCCGTGGCTTCACGAGGCTGCCTCGGGAGCAAGTCCATCCTGGCCGAGGCGATGAGCACAGGCAAGCGATAGGGCAGGCATGGCGGGAACCACACAGCTCCTCAGCTTCTTCCGCCTCCAATTTTGGAGGCGCCGTGGTCCGAGCTCATGCGGCATCGAGCAGACGTCAAATGCATTCGTTTTCACCATGCTGTACACGTGCGTCGAAAGCATTTTCGAAGCACATGTCACCTTAACTTTTCGTCGATTCCTGATCCCTGCGGTTTTAATCTTCAAAAATGTATTGCCACATGCATATATTTTGTTCAAGTTTGATATAGAATGTCAAGAGGTGAATATAAATTGCAACAGGACATGGAAAGATACAGTCACAGCTGACATTTCCACAGGCGGCTGGACGGCTGTCGCCACCTCGACGACGTGGGCACGACGTTCCAAGGCCGAATGCGATTCCATGCAAAGTTCGTTTGAAGATGGGCACAACGGAACACACAAGTACACCTTTCGACTGCAGCAACCCAGCTGGAAGAGCTCCCACGGCTTTGGCGTGCGTTTGGCTGTGCGCGCGCGGCCGTTTGTATTGCTGGTCGCGTTGGTGATCCACTCAAGGCCACCTTTTGCGTCGTGATCTCCTGGCGTTCGGCCTTTGCCTCGTCAACGTCGTGGAGCCGAGCCAAGTTACGCATTCGACCTCTGACGTCGGTCGTTTTCAGTTGCAACTTTGATATTGCACGGGCATGGCACATAACAGCAATACCGGTACTGCATTCCATGAACGCAAGTATCGCCGTTGCGCCATGTTCGTCAGCTACGTTTGGAGAAGAGATTGTACCAGCCGTCGGAGAGAGACCCGGGTGGGTCGAGGCGGCGCATGCGTTGATTGGACCAACTCGGTATCGGTGGAGTCTTGCTGATGTCAACGATTCATGCGGCATTGCTCGTGCAGTGTGCCGGCAGCAGCGGTTCGGGTCGTCGACGTTGCGGCGGCGTAAATGTGCCGGCGACCTTTTCGCATCCGCGAGGTGTGGGGAATTCGTGAAGTTGCCGTGACCCCGCTGCGGTAAGTTGGCTTGCCAGTTAGGTGCAAAACGTGACGGATACAAGCATGTGTTGAAATATCACAACCCTTCAACTTGGACACGTGACTTGTATTATTGTACCGTGTAGCGTATATTATTCTGGACACCTTTTATATTCTGGACACCTCCAAGAAAGAATAGTTTTGCCTGTCAAAAGAATATCAAGTTGTACAGAAATCCCTTGGCGCGCAAGCATACCTCTTATATCAAATAAATACTCTCTACATTAATATAATATCCATTTATAGCGGTAAAATATATTTTTCGGAGTTTTTTTGGCGCGACGAGCTGCAAGCAGCCCTGTGATCACTCTGGCGAGCATGGCCGACAATGCTGATGCAATCATCGCAAGACGGAAGTCTCCTGGTCGCCCGGCGTTCAAGTACGGACCCAAGGCTGTGCCAAAGCTGTACAAGAACAAGACAGTAGACTACAAACACCGACTGGAAGCAATAATCAAAGTGTCTGAGATTGGCATGTCTTCCTTTCTCGACACCTACTGTCCTAACTCAACAGCCACCGAGCGAGAGAGCACAAGGAAGAAGGTCCATGGCTGGGTGGGTTCTATGGAAGAAGTCGCTGGAGATGTCTCGGTTTTAGATGATGACACACACTTGCAGACCTGTTTACCAACTTGGCCATCGAAGACACCATTGATCCCGATGAAGACATCGCCTGAGACTTCTGAACCAAATTAGGACATCTCAATATATTACCTGTCCATTTGTATACAATATTTTGATTTCACTACCTCTCAATTGTTTCAACTCTTGAAAATTAATTTCATTCTACAACTAATTGTTGACGGTGTTGATTCGGTGGAATTCCATATATGAAAGTTTGTATGTCCAGAATAAATTACATAACCACACCCCTTGCCGCCGTCGGATAAATGTCCCTTCACTGTCCAGAATAATATACGCTACACGGTAATTTCTTCCTCTGTTCCAGCTTCCCATCTTAGCGACTCCAAAAATTCATTTGACCATATCACATGTGAAAGACAATCAAAAACCAGAGGGGGTCAGCATTGACAAGGTGGAAACGACGTTTTCGCGCCCAAATTTGATGTCCCCATCGGTCTTGAACAAAAAAAAATGAAATCATTGGTTTTCATTTCAACATTACCGGACCCGCGAGCCTCACTAGCATGCTCACTACCATGGATTTTCTGCGCGCCGGACGCGAGCTCTCGTACGAGACCAAAATCGAGGTCATCACCCGCCTCCTACGACTCATGGAGATGGGCAATTTAGCGCGCGGTGCCATTAAATCAACTGCAACCGAGACGCACCTGCACCGAACCACCATGTCCAAAATCTAGAAAGCGTTCCGGCACTACGCTCGCATGCCGTCATCGAAGAGTGGTCGAGTCGGAACCAAGTTGTCCTACACCACCGAACATGTCACGAACCTCGTCAGCGGCGTCCCCGAAGACCAGCGATCCACGATTCGAGACAAATCTGTAGCAACGGTCTCTCCATCGGCACAATCCACCACAAGCTCCGCGAAGGCACAATTGAGCGCCGATCAACCCGTCTCAAACCGCTCCAGACGATGACAACATGCGTGAGCGCATTGAATTTTGCCGTCGGCCTTGCCGGCGCCGGCGAAGCCGGTTTTTCCGAAAAGCCGCTCTCAGCAAACACCCACGAGTTCGACGGCGTGTTGGGCGTTGTGCACATTGATGAGAAATGGTTCAATGCCCATAAGGACCGCTGCAAGGTCATGAGAGTATTGTCCAATCAGGGACAACTAACTTTGGAATTTCGGCAAAATCAAATATAAATTTTGAGCTAAGAATATACATTCTGCAAGGTTATAATTACAAAAAGAATTATTCGCATACATTCAAGTTGAAATGACGCCATGTTCTTGCAGGTCATTAATCGTTAAAATAGATCATTCATTTCAAACCCCCAGTGACCGGAGCGCCACAAAAGTTTGTCATTAACTTAGCTAGGGGACCCACAATAAGCAGTGGCTAGACTGTGGCGTTCACAAGGGACGAAAATGTGAAGTGGCTTTAATTCCTTGGCGCGGTTCCAAAACATGTTTCATGTCATTGTGGGCGATCTGATTGCCAGAATGACTTAAAATTCTATGTACAGACTCCGCCAATCATTCTGAATTGAATGGTGTATTCAGAGGATCCGTGCTAGTGATTGGCGGGATTTTCACTGAGAAATACAGGGTGGCTTTAACCTCCTGGCACGCACTGTACACGAATTTACACGCCCATTTATGATAGAATTGTACGTTTTGCATGAATACATGGTAAATAATTCATTTGAAAGAGCATGGGACAGTTGTGCACATACGTGTTGGCAATCATGATATGACAGGGCCTGATTTGAGTGCACTGGGGTCATGAATAGATTTAGTTGTACTTGGCAATACATGAAGCAAACCATCTCGGAAGTCGATCATTTCAGTGTTTCAGGCACTGCAAACAGTTGTCATCGCCAATTACACAAAAATATAGAAATTTGCAAATGAAGTAATGATATGACATGTGCACAAATCTCATGTTAATGCTTAATTTTGCGGTGACCGATCGAAGGTGCGTCTTCGTCGAGTGGGCCCAGTAATAATTGAACCCATCAGGTCCATCGAGGTCCACTACTTTTCATCGGACTGTGTAATATCTTGAAATAGGTCACCCCACTCACGCGCCTCCTCAGTTGCCCATGCTACTCGTGCCTTTTCGTGCGCCGGGGTCATCATTGGCGCGGCAAGTCGCTTCTTGTACTTTAACTTGGCACTCTAGTTGAGAAATTTAGCAAACACGACGACGACCAACCGGCAAAGAATGTCGTTCCACAAGCTCAGCGGCCGTAAACTCGCCTGTACGGGCAGTACGAATGATTCGGCGGTGGTGTGAGCTGCTGACTTTTGAAGGTCTTCCAGTAGAGCGCGCGGTTCAAACCCCGTAACCCCGAAATCATAATCGTATTTGGAGTTGAATGAACTTGGATTTGATATTTTCAGTTATTATATCTCATGTTCAATGACTTAGTTTCAAGTCAGAACGTGGAAAGTGATCATTGATTGAAGGATTGACAAATATCAATGTATTTGTTCATTTAATATAAATATATTTCTGCGATTGAATGAAGTCGTTGTCGATTGTCAAACTGATCATTTGGTCTTTCACAAAAAGCATATGTTTTTCATCGATACGGTACGTTGTTTTGTATGTTTTTACATGGACATCACCGGAGTACGGAACATTTGAAGTATCATGGGCCCACCAAACGATGTGCTTTTGGGGATAGGTATTTGCATCAGTTGATGTAGTCATGTTTAAGACACGCTATATGGAAGATAATTCTCCCTGGCGATGACACCACCTCGAAATTCTATTTTTGCCAGCCATTTGTCTGAATTCTGTAGCAGAAGGCACTAAGTGGTTAAACGTTTAAGTGTGCGACCCGGGTTCAAATCCCGCTAAGTATCAATTTTTGGAATTCTTCGTTGTAAAAAATGTCAAATCCAAAAACTCCAGCTAGAAAATCGACCGTCGTCGATCAACTTGAGGCGACGTGAGCTTCAGTCGCCTTGCACGACGGGCACGATACTGAGCCTGCGCTCGACTGCGCCTTTTTGCCGCCTCATTTGACATGCTGCTGTAGCGAGACAAAACACCATGATAGTAAATTCCGTCAGTACGACGTAGCGGCATCCACGACACATGGGCACTGGTGAGAGCACAGCATAATCTTGAGACAACGTCAAACGGTTTTCGTTCCACTTGTACGTCTGCGCATAATTTTCCAAAGGCTGCAGATCCGACCAAAATCTCGACGAGAACCCGGTCGGAAGACACAAGCCCATTCCGTTCCATCTCTCGGGCTGAGTGGAGTCCACCTTGGGGTCTTCGAGTTGGGTGAATTGCTCGAACCTCACTTCTTAACCCTTGATAGCCCATGTCCACAAGGACACTCCACGAGTCTGGGTACTCGTCGAAACCTTCGTCATGGTCCACCGTGTCCTGTTTGGGCGCAGACTTCCGAAGCACTTCTTGGTGGATATTCCGACTTTTCTTGAAAATGGTCAAATCAGAAACTGATCCTGTTGTGTGGTCTGACATATCGACTGCAACCTCGGCGTAAGCAACGGAGTACTCGAGCTTCAGACTGTAGAGCTTGTGCTTTCCCGAGAAGTAGTGTATGGCTTCGTCGAAACGTCCAGTAGGTCGATACGAGGGCTGAAACATGATATCCGTACAATACAGTGCTGACGGAAAGTTGGCAAAAACCTTTCCTTGTTGGACTTGACGGGTCATGTTGACAGGCATAACATAGTGCTCGTAGAGAATTGGTTCGACGATGACAGTTACACTCTGGATCATCTTTTCGAAAGTTGGAGCCTTCATGTTAAAGTCGAGGGCGTGTTTGTCCCAAGCGTTGCAGTGCTTAAGCACATACAGGAGCATGAAAAATGCATCCTTTGGTGAGGTTTTTGACTTGAGGCCTCGTCCCATCGTCCAGCTGGTCACCATGGCGGGTTCAACTAAGGCCCAAATCGTTTCGATCTCGGCCGGAGTAAAGTTCGACATGGTCGTGAGGGCTGCGTTGTCTCCTTGACTGAAGAAGCTGTCGATCACTGGCGTGGGCGTATCATCGGCTTCCTCCACTTGTTGCGAGTGAGCTTGGTATACCGTACTCAACTCGTTGAGGGCGTGGGCGTCGTCATCGACTTGTTGTTGGAGGCGCGTCACGATTGCAATGGAGTCCATGAGATTGATCAAGACTTTTTGATTGTGAGTTACGACGCCGCGCTATCTTTGAACGTGTAGAGGCGTAGCTTAGCTCAAGTCGTGTAGAGTACTGTCGGGGAGCTTATAAATGCGGAATAGGTTTGTCATATTGTTTTCAATATGGTTTATTCTTCATTGACTAAGTCTTTGAGAGGTTGATCGTACTCACCGTCATTCACTGCGATATTCGGATTTTATCCAATCCTATTGCATTTATTTGATATTATTCCAGATATGTACTAATATCCACTTGACATCGAAATCACTGACAAAGACCTCAGTAATTGAACACGAGGTCTATTAGTTGAGCGTAATTGATTGCACATGGATTGGATATGACGATGCCGAGCCAAAGAATGGTTCAATTTTCTACCCACCACAGTGCGTACCTTTGGCATTCCAAGCGCTCTAGATGCAACAAGTCGAACATCTCGCACTCGAAATAGTCTTCACAACCTTCCCAGGATCCTTCGTTGCTCTTGGTACGTGCCCTTCCATCGTCGACTAGTGCGCTGAATCTTTCTCCACTTCTACACCGACAATCACATTTAGTGTGGACTTCTGAAGTTGCAGGAATATCTCATGTATTAGGTCACCAAGTCAAAATGGAATCGATTTCCTCCCTATGGACAAGCTCCTTTGCAAAGGAGAGGGCTCAATCGTATGCTTGAGATGTGCTGACGAGGGACTGAGTCATTTGGTGAACAGGTAATATTTCGAACATAGACAGGGTAGCCAACCATTGATCGACACATTTCCCAATTCACTGAGGTTTTACCCAAAGCCCAATCATTGATCAAGAACATACAAGCCAACAAAATTTTATTCAAACTTTTTTATTTATACTTGAAGTTTGTATGCAAATTCCAAGTATAATGCAAACAATTTTTAACTGGAGACCAGATGGGGATTGGAAGGCAGAACGCGCCGCAAATGAAGAACGCAGCATGTCAGTGGCCAAACGTTCGGCGCGCCTTTGCGCAGAACGGCGCTGGGTCGCTGCACGTCGATTCCTCTTCTCTTCCGCCATTCGAGCATAGCGCGCAAGCACAGAACGGTAGTGATGTGGGCCGTATGCAAGGGCATCAAACCAACGTGGAAGTTGGTCAGGGTAAAGGTAAGACGTTGGATGCCATCGTAGAATTTGACATCCCACACAAACGTATTGAGCGACACCTTCCACAGGAGGCAAACGCTTCCAAAGAAGTTTTTCAACGACGACGCGGTCCGATGACACCGCCGCATTGCGCTCAAGGTCCTGGCGGTCAAGCGTCCCCTGCACAGGCCTCTTCTTCGGATGGATGGCGCGAATTGTGTGCGACAGTCCCACATATCCCATGTCCACGAGAACCGCCCACAAGGTAGGATGCGGTTGGAATTGCTCCCCATTGTCGTTCACCATGACTTCGTCAGGCTTCTTGGTCAAGGCGTCGACATGGACATCGTGACGGTTGCGGAACATCGTCATGTCGGCGACGGACCCTGGTTGGTGAGAACTCATGTCGACCATGAAGCCTTGAGGTGATACTGATGCTTCAATTTTAAGCCCGTAGAGTTTATGCTTTCCGCTGAAGCAGTGCTCTTGTTCGCCAAAGCGACCCGAAGGCGGTGGGAGGGCTGAGATTTCACGTCAGTGGCGTACTTGGCGTATGGGAAGTTTGCAAAGGTGGAACCTTGGTCTCGGAGGAACGCCGTGGACGGCATGGTGACAAGACCACCGTAGAGGACAGGAGAGGCAATGTCGATAACACGCATAATCATCTTCTCCGGCGTTAGCGCTTTCATTCCAAAGTCGACACCATGTTTCTCCCAGGTCCGCTAGTGCTTCATGATGGCCAAGGTCAAGAACAGGGCGTCTTTTGCCGTTGTCGTGGGTTTGCGACCCCGATCGTCCATCCAGCGGGCGACGAGCGGGCCTTCAACGATACACCATACAGTGTCAAATTCGGCAGGCGTGAAGTTTGTTAAGGTCCGAAAGCCGCCAATGCCACTCTCCTCGAGAACCTTGTCGATTACAGGATTATTGTACGTGGTGGTGTTGTTCTCTTCGTCGGCGACCGCTCCGAACACGTCCAAGCACTCCTCGAGGTAGTGCTGATCGGACACGGCTTGAACTTGCAAGCGTTCCAGCATTGACGTGACGTTGAGAACCATTCGTGTAGAAATTATTTGTGTGTGGTAGTTGGTCATCCTGCATTGCAATTGCCCCGTTTCGAATAAATTCTGAAACTCTATATATCAAATCTCAAAGTCAGTTTGAATTTTCAAACATTCAAGGATGTTGGAACAACGCAATTTTTGATATTTGTCGAAGATGAAGGCGCGCATGACTTTGAGTGACAAGCATGAGCTGTATGTGCATCACATGCAACATCCATCCTCAACATACACCGAGCTACCAAATGGGCCAAAGAAGCCTTTTGTTTACAAGCACACCAACTAAATCAACGATCTGTAATGCTCTTAAACGGCACGCCACGCAAAGTAAGCAAGCGGACAACAAGGCGAGAAGCGCTGATCGTTCTGTGATGATGCCCGAGGTCGAACAATCCGTCGCACAGTGGGTTCTCCAATGCGAAGAACTGGGCGTGTGCTTGACCGGCGAGCTCATTCGCAAGCAAGCGACAATCTTTTGCAGCCAGCTTCAAGTACCGCTTGACCAAAGACTGTGCTTCTCTTAGGGATGGTTTCAATGTCGTCATGGCTTTACCAGCAAGATCCAACACGGCGAGGCAGCGTCAGTTCCACCCGAAGCAGTAGCGTCCGGTCGTGTCGTCGTCCGCAACATCACCAGAGGCTTCAACGCAAGCGAAGTCTACAACATGGTTAAGACCGCTTTCTTTTATCGCATGTCTCCTCACCGTTCTATCACCCGAAGCCGTGTGCCTGGAACAAAGAAGTCAAAGGACAGGATCACGATTGCGCTTAGCACAAACGCCGACGGATCCGACGTTGTTGACCCATTGTTCATCGTGTCGGCTGCCCGTCCACGCTGCTTCAATGGTGCTCCCGCAAGTGCTTTGGGCTTTAACTACATGTCAAGCAAGAAAGCATGGATGAACAGTAGTCTCTTCACTTCGTACTTGCGCAACCTGGATGACCACATGGCTACCGAGGGTCGCAACATCTTCATGTTGGCCGACAACGCGCCATCCCACAAAGTGGACGAAGATGTGCATCTATCAAATGTCAAGGTCAAGTTGCTCCCGAAGAATACAACTACTCACCTGCAGCCTCAAGACGCAGGCATCATTGCCTCCTTCAAGGCCAAGCTTAAGCAGCGGCAGTTGCAGAATGTCCTGGACCAAATTGACAACGTGATGTCAGGACGTCAAAAATATCAGTATGATGTACCTCTTGTAGAAGCCATGGGATGGGCCAAAGAGGCGTGGCGATCTGTGACGCAATCGACCGTTGTCAACTGCTGGAGCCGCGTCGGCATATTGGACAATGACTTCTAGAACATGTCAGTAATGAATTTGGAGTAATTGGTTGTCGGCAGTTCCGGTAATAACTTGACCAGAGTACCTGTAATTATTTATAACCTGTAGAAATCGCACGGAATGCTCGGTTTCGTTTAGGGGGGAGATCAGCAGTCCAGCAATTCTTGATCAAACCAACTGTCCATTCCGAATTAGCTTAGTCTATTTGCGAGATGTCGATCTGGTTTCGAAATGCTTGGTCTACTCAAAGGAGAAACAAAACGAGCCTCATTTTTTAAATACCCATGGATATTTACAATACATTTGACTACCTGATTGGGAACCGACTATTTGAGTCGGAGGCCTATTAGTGTGGATCTCAGGAATCCTGAATTTGCTGACTTGGGCGGCCTCTCCAGTCAGTGAATAGTGTGGGCCACACTAATTCAAATTTCACACTATATTTGATTTCACACTAAATGTTATTGGCCGTTTCGCTGTTACCACAACGTGCTGTTCATATTCTACTTCCTCTGTTCCACATTTATCGTTGCTAAGGAAAACACACTTTTTCCACATTACTATTACGAAATGAAAATCATTGGTGCTTCAAAAGGTTCACTGATATGCATTGGTTAAAATTCTTTAGAGAAGCAAAGACGCAGGGCAAGTCACATTGGACATAAGACGACCAGCGCGTCTCAATGCATCCTTCTTGAGATGCGGCAGAGCAAATTTGTTGTCGCCAACTCAGCTCTGCGTTTGAAGGCCCCGCGCTTGAGATTTTCTCCATTGAGTTACGTTTTGAGGTGTTCGATTACTCATAACTTGACGCTATTCGAGAGGTCTCGGCGGGTATGGTTCACTTGATCCTCCATGGCGGCAAATTTGAATATGACTGTGTTGGACTATGTG